GACTTTGACTCTCGGATGTAATGTTTTACTCAATCAATTGAGACATTTGTTTATCAGTATTATAAATGTCTGTCTTCTCTCTCAATGTATAGCTAATGATTGATAAGTCAAAAGTGATTGACTTTTTAAATGTAAATTAATATCAAAACAATTTAATTTTCAATTAATATTGTGCTCAACGTTACAGACAATGATTGTTACGTAACATAGATTACACACAACAAAGGCTAACAATTTATCGTTTAAATTAATTGATTAGTTATTTAAGACACGATTTGTTAATATAAGATCCCATGAATTGTAAATAGGAAATCATTTTATTATTTATATTATTATTATTATAAATATAGGAATTGGAGTTTTTAATTAGCGCTAATTATACCACTATTTTATACTAATATTTTTAAAAATTTAGTTATAATTTTTAATTATTAACTATTGATTTAAAAAGTATTATTTTCAACGAATTATACAATGAATTATTTAAATATTGTATTTAAATCAAAGTTTATTTCACTTTTCTCTCTCTCACTCTTTCACTCACACACTATCTCTCGATATGTAATAAAATATAATTCAAAAAACTTAATATTACAACAAAATTGATTTATTTCTGACGATTAAATTGATTTAAATTAATTGCAACTTCTGGTATAAATGTATTTCACATCCGATGATAAACATCCCCTCTTTCAATGTCGTCACGTTATATACGGATCGTTGCGTTTAACACTGGATTTCAATGGAAATGATGGGCGAAAGTAGTGTTTGTAAAATACACTATAATTTCAACGCTTTATAAGGAAATAATTGGTATAATTGGCGATAAAATCGCTATAAAATAGACGCAAATACACTATAAAATATACATTTTGGCCACAAATTAATAATAATAAACAAATGAATACGTGATTACATAACAAGTGATGACAACATAAAACACTAGTTTATGTCATAGAGTGTGAGAGTGTGTGAAGGGGTGGGAGTGGAGAGCGAAACCAGTTATGCATAGCGTATGGTATGTGTGAACGATATCAGAGACACCAAACAGAGAGTGAAAGTAAAGTAACTGTAAATCAAAGTCAAAAAGTATTTGTGATTTCAAAGAGTTTTGGATTGCATTCAAAGCGAAAGTCCGCTTAAAAAGTGCAGTAAAAAACACGTGGTCTGCGGGACAGCACACACACACCGGTGCTGACCAACTGTTATCGTCCAGCGCTTCCCATTAGAAGAGTGTGAAGAGATCAGCATTTGGTGACATCGATGGCGCCCCGCATAGAGATGATGGAGCCGTTCGGGTGGTGGGGAGGCGTCACCTCAACCCTCGACTGGTGTGAAGACAACTACACGACCACTAGATTTGTGGCCGAATTCTGGAACACAGTGTCCAATATTGTGATGATATTACCGCCGATTGTGGCCGTATATCACGCCGTCATCAATGGCTTCGAGCGGCGCGTTATGCTCTGCTTCGGGTAAGGATCAGCTCTTTTGCCGGTTGTCGTAGTTATGGTGTGTCTGTTATCTCTCACGCATACCATCTCTCGCTGTCGTCTCCTATTCAATGATTGATTGTCTCATTTATTTGATCCATACTTTTATGATTGCATAACTAATTGATAATTATCTCATTTTATGGTATAATTTATTGCATATGTTTTATTAGATCCAAAGGTCTAAAGGATTGATATGTTTTTTGCATTATATATGGTTTTAATTAATTGCCATTTCATTGATGTTTTTAATTGTCATTTGTTTTGTCAGCTCATAATTCAATGACAGATACAATGGAAAAAAGTTTGCAAATATTTGCTAATTATTAGGTGTTTATCGTTTATAAAGTGTACGATTTGTATAGTGTATGCATTTTTAGCGTTGATTTAATCGCTAAATATAAGTTTGTTTTAACTTTTATGATATTATTATTGTTTGCATTTTGTTTTAATTTAGTTTTAATTAGTTTACGAATTGATTAATGAGGAAATATTTTCATACAAATAAGTCTAATTGATTTTTATTGCTATTAATAAACAATTAATAGTTATTAACTAACAAACAGTCAGTCACTGGTCTACCAGACCTCACAATATGTGTCAATCAAATGTTAAAATGTGTTTCAAATAACTTTTAATTGTTTAATGTATAATGAATTGGATTTTAGTCCACAATATTTTACTAACAATTAATTTAACTAACATAACAATTGATTAGCAAATTGTGTGATGGCATAGAGTCTATGCCATAGACTATGCCCTCACATACACGCATAGGGAAGGGAAGGGTGTTATAAAATTTAGCACAAAAATAGCAATAAAATTAAATTTCTAGGAATTTATACAATAGTTAGTAAATTGTGTTTTCAATGTTTGAGATATGGGTTTGAAAAATGATGTTTTCAAATGTAAAATACTTCCTGAGAGAGAGAGAGAGAGAGAGAGAGAGAAGCATAATATAAAATCCCATTTAAAAATGTGTTATAAATATAATTTATTTCAATCATAGCAACAATTTCTATACCCAAAGCCATCATAAAAATAATTTAATGGGAACTAAACTTTTTTGTCATCACTTCTGCAAACAGCCAAACAATTACTTGTAATGTATTGTCAATATAAATGCAATACAAAGTGTATTCAACTTTTGATATGATTTAAAATTCTAGTTAAATATTGTATGAATTGTACGCTAATTATAAATCAATTGACTTATCAGAGGATCAGTAGTGGTAATGACATTGTAATCGAGATTAAGCCGAAAGGGTTGGATAGATAGCCCCCAAAACCCCCCCCTCTTATTAAAGTTACATGTATTACATGGTATTGAATGATGAAAACATAGCGCTCTCTATGTGTGAAACACCCGTACGAGTAGTGAACACAATAATAAACATGTGATCACTTTGTTTATACATTTATCACATTCAACAACAAATCAATAAAACAATTAAGCATTAAATACCAAAATGTTTGAGAGATTACTCTCGCGAGTAGTGTTGCCATCCGTCCAACAGATCCGCAACTTTTCGTAAGTATTATGAATGCGATTACTAAACCACATGTGTATGTAATACTGGCTTTTCTCCCGAACCGTCGGGTGTGCGGCGATTGGCCAGTCGTTCACCGGTGCACCAGTGGATCACCAAACAGACCCGACTCCGAGTGGTGGACAACAGCCAATTGGGTCGCGAGGCGATGGAGGAGCAGAAGAAGGTTAAGTGCATTCACGTGTACACTAAGAAACGCAACGGTAAACACAATGTCGGCGTTTTGGGCGACAAAGTGTTGGTCACAATCAAAGGCCATATGAAACGCGGTTATCTCGTGGGTCTGCGCGCATACCAGCGGCCAATGGTTCCCAAGTTTGACAGCAATAATGTGGTGCTCGTCGAAGACAATGGCAATCCGTTGGGCACACGAGTGGCTGTTCCGGTGCCGCACTATCTCCGTAGCAAAGGACCAGAATTGGCCAAAATTATAGCAATTAGTTCCCGATTTGTTTAGCGTTTCTTATAATTAGATTTTATTATATTATTGTTTATTATATTTAAAAATTCATTATAAAATTTATGTCAAAACACATGCAAATCACAAGTTTTCTAAACAACAAATCAATCATAAAATGGCATAAAAATCTGATTAAATTAATTAATAAACAAAACAATTCTAATGTAATTAAACGGAAAAATTAATGAATTACTAATAAATTAGATAAAACTCAAATCAAATGAATAACTAAATGAATGAATAATTAATGTGTTGTTTAAGACAAGGCGTGGCGTTAAACAACTTTCTTGAAGTGCTGTCGGTTGGAGAGTACGATCCCGTGCCAGCACCAGATCAGGTCCACCTCCTGGTCTCGGGTGAGGGCTCGGGAGTGAGCGGTGAACACAATGTGCAGATACGAGCCATAGCCGGCCAGACAGTGCCAGAGGGCGTGTAATTGAGTGAAAGGCACGAGAAATGCGGGCAAGAATTGGCGCAAAAGAGACAATTTGTCGCAGAATATGTTGTCGATGTTCCAGAGGGCAAAACCTAAGCACATCCAAAGTGTATACAAAATTAGATTACAATTATAAATAAAACATCAAATAGTGTACACATTTAGGTAATAATTACCGGAATAGTAGAAAAATGCCGCCCAATAGAAGATACGGCGATCGCAGGGCTTGTATTTGGCGACACAGATATCCAGATACAGCATAAGTGTGACCAGAAAGCCGTACGAACACTGGAAGAGCAGCGGTGTCTTCAGCAATAGATAGGCCAAAGTGGAGACCACGCCGTAGGCCACGAGTGCCAGTTTGGTGGCCGCTGTGGCCGTCGGCGACGCGTCGATCGACGGGTAGAGCAGTGTTAGTATGCAATAGACGAGCATAAGACTGCCCCAAAGCATCGGCAACTCGTCAAACAGTTGCATCTCATACTTGAGCGTCATGTGAAACATCCACGAACCGAACCCCACCAGACATAGGAACCTATAGGGGGTGCGGGTGTCGGGAGTCCGACAAACAAATTTTGTATTAATGCCTGAATTAAAAATTAATTAGTTTTCAATGTTTTGTAGTGTTTGATATTTATTTCTGTTATACAGTATGTCTTGATATTAGTTTTTTTAGTTGAATTAAAAATTAATTATCAATTAATTTATGACATTTAAAAATCTCTAATATCTGCGAAAATTGTGTTAACAAAACTAACAGTGAAAATGAAAGTTAAGGTTTTAAATGCCTTTTGAAAGATAAATAGTTTTTCAAATACAGGAAAACAAACACAAAGTTAATAAAAAACAGTTTCACTCGTTTTCGTGACACATATTTTTGCTGCAATTTTCTGGACCAATGCCTTAAGGCTAGTAATTGTGAAGTTTGTGTGTAGTAGAGGTATACCTGTGTTCTCTCTCTCTCTCGCTGTCGTCTCCTATTCAATGATTGATTGTCTCAT